GAGTGGGGTCCTTGGGCTGGTGGGAGGCACAGCATACTCCGTCCCCCACACCATCACAAGACTGCTTTGCAGGTCTACTCAAAGTGATGCAAGGGCCATGCAGACCATGGTCTGTGGCTCCCATGGCTTCAGGGTGCCCTAGAGATGGCTTCTGCGGGCAGTGGAGACATATCCACTGATTTGAGTGTGAGCAGCAGACCTAGGAGTCTCACGGCACTAAACACATGCCATCTCGGTTCTCTAGGAGCTCCTCTATTTCTGTACTTCTTTTAGCCTTTATACTCAAGCATTTTCTTACTTCCTCTAGAATTAAGGCTGTCCTGACTCATGACTTCCACAGCTCACTGTTGTTACTGAAGTCAGCCGGACACTCTTCTTGCCTCCATGTGCCCCATCGACCTCTTTGCTTGTGTGTGGATGAAAGAGGGAGAACAGGATCAGCTGAAAACTGGCTGACTGTGGGGCCTCTTCTCTCACATCTTAAAGAAGATGCAAGCAAATGCCAATGGCATCCAAAGTACTTAAAGTCAGAAAGATTTGAAGCAGTACCAGTAGTGGACCCCAAAAAGAGTGGTGCAAAGACAAGAGGAAGTCGGAACACCTTCCAGCCTCTCCCAAACCACAGGGACTTGCATAAGCAACTAAATATGGCATTCACCAATACATAAACACGCGGCCCAGGCAACACAAACATGGTTTCCTGAGCAGAAATACTTTGTAGAAGTCATGCCTAAGGGTATGGGATTTCACTTATCATGTAACAGGTAACAAGAGAAAGTAATGTTACTGCAGGGGTTAATGCAACCCAAACTGCTAAACCTGGGGTTTCCAGCAGCACTCCCCATCTTTGGTGTTGTCCTTCATCCTCTTCCAGATTTACCTTATCCTAGAGATGAGTGCCATCAAACTGCACACAGTGCTGGTGAAGTGGACTGTGGAAGGACTGCTGAAGAGGTGTACAGGGTGGCAGGAGGAGTGGTTCACAAGCAGCAAAGAGACAGAGCTGAAGGTACTTTGTAAAACACTGTTCTTCTTCTATTTCTGCTGCAAACATTTATACAACCCTGGCCTTATCACTTAGACTAAGCTTTTCACAAGTGATCACTATTTTTACATGATATATTTTTTGAGTACCTAATGTGAGAAATGAAGCCAGATCCACACCAGTGCTGAATTCTAAGCATCTCCTGGTTGTGCTTTCCACAGAGGAGACTATAAACAGTACTCTGAAAAACCAGTCCCTCCATGTCTCAAGACAGGCACTGAAAATGGATAATTTTGGCTTTAATCTTTGTACATTGATGCTAAGGGGAACATGTTTAAAAATGCCCATTTGGAAAAGAACAGTTCTTCATTCATTGCGTGCCCTGAACAACACACCCCAAATATGGCATAGGGCCACATCAAATGGGGATAACAAAAAGAAATAATGATCACTCATTCACTGCATGCAGCAGAGGGCCTGTAGAAAATTTAATAAAGGGGCCTCATAAAGATGTATTACAATGCCCTAGCTCAAAACTGTACGGGCAGTCTTGATGCCCAGAGCCTGTCCTGGCACCTCATGCCCTCGTTAGATGCAAAGATTATGTAAGTTAAGTATCAACAAACAGTGATAGGGAGTTCTTCTGGGAACAGTCCAAAAATTAATTTTGTTCCTTTTCCTGGCTGAGAGCATGCAGTAATTATGAGGAAGTTTCATATTTAAACCCTCCTGATGCCCAAGACCCAAAGCATGACCTACAGATGAGAGTGCCACAGCAGCAGCTCAGTGCAGTGGAGCAGCACTGCTCCTGCCAGCCAGAAATCAACCAGGTGCAGGGGAAAAACATCTCCCTGTGCTTAGTTAATACCTGTCATTCACTTCTGGTCTAAATAAATCTGAAAAACACACACAGAATGCATGGGGGATTTTTAAAAACTTGCCTATCCATTTGGGTGAAACTGGCCCTGTTGAAGTCAGGAACATCCACCTGTCAAGATTTCTCCTCTGCTTTTTGTTTGTACTTGTGCATGCGTGTTTATCTCTCTGCCTGCCTTTGTCTCCTCCCTGGGGCTTTGTTCATTAAACTTATTATATTGTCTCTTTCTCCAGTTTCTGGGAAGCTCTTTTAAATCTTGGTACAATATCTGTTACACTTATAAGATGTTTTCCCCTCAGGATAAAGCACAGTAGTTTGATTTGTGACACTGCAAGCCCGTAGGTAGCATAAGTTTATCAGTTGGAGTTGTTTTCTAAGTCAAAATGTGATGGTGACAGGTAGAGGTATAGAATATATTCAGGCCACAGAGAAAAGGCTTTGTGGGAGAGTATTTTCAAGGCCTCAGGTCTTTCTCTGCAATCTCAGACTGTCAACCATGCCATGGCTTTTCAATGAGACAGATGCCCTGACCTTGAAAGGGATGCAGAAACTAACACTCAGGAAATAAAAGAATAAGGCAAGTAACAAATAAGCTACCCACAAGTATCCAACCCTAAGGAAAATACACACTAACTTACAAACCCAAAGGAAAATACACAGTAACTTACATTACATTATGTAGATAAAGTAAGATTTACTGAATGCTAATTTTTCTCATCAGCATATCACAGAGTACAGAGGCAATGCTAGAAACAGTGATAACCATTGTGTATAAGTCTCTACATCTCTCACAGAGACCATCCTCTTAGACTTAATGGAAATGTAAATATAAAACATTCACTGTAATAAAAGTCTCCGGAGATAGAGTCTAAGTAGCATGATTAGTATGGAAAATGCTTCATAAATCCCAATTCCAATAATCTCTGGTAGCATAAAGGATTCATCTCATTATGACTTTCTAGAAGAGCCTTGTTAATTCTCACTTCACTAATCTGTGACCTTGAAAATTTCCTGTCTGCATTTCAGTGAGGTGTTGACAGCCAAGTGAAATAGGGAAGTATTCCAGCAAGGGCTACAAGTGACAGAATATATTGCAAAACACTCACTAGATTTATATAAAATAATGTGCCTGAAAAAATTAAATAAAATAACAAGTCTTTAATCAATTACCATCCAACATTTTTATTTTAGCATTTGAATCAAATAGCAGAATCTATCAATTAATTTATTGCATATTATATTTTGCAAGGCTGCTAACATAGGAATAAAAGGAATTCTGTGTTAAGGATATTACTTCTGACACATTTCTGAGATGAAGTATCTAGGTTTGGGAATAGTTCTTATTGACTGTAAACTTTTGAGGCCACTTTCAACATAAAAATCTTGAAGTTACATGCACACACACATACACACATATAAATATCTATATATATATAGACCACACATGTTACTACAGACTTGTAGGTGCACATCTCTTGATACCACTAATATGACTGCATAGTTTACTGAAGATTTGCATAATTCTGTTTATGAGGTAGTGTGGGTTAAGAAGACAAAATGACTGAACAAAAGAAATTCTGCCCTATTTTCCAGGCTCGAGAGCTCACTTTGCTTCTACTATCCCTGAGTGTATTTTGAAAAACATTAAAAACTCTTCTAAATATAAACATACCTTAAAAAACAATCCTTACTTTTTTTCAAAACTTGGCAGACAGCAACTTACGTAATTTTTTCCCAAAATATATAATTGATCAGAATTAGGTATTAAGATCTGAATTGTTAATCACTACACCACCAGAATTATAAAACCCAGAGACTAAAAACATTTGTTGCCATTATTAAAAAACCACCACTATCAAAATATTAACAAAACTACACCGTCAAATACATCAAAATTTTGATCCAAAATGGGTTAGTGCAGATGACATCATCAAGTGTTTCACATTTACTTATTTTCTGTTAATTTTACAACATCTCTGCCAATACTACTATTCCATTACTGCAAAGCACACCCTCCAAAAGGACCCAAATTGAGATGCATTTCAAAACACGCTTCTTTCTACTCTTCTCTGCATGGTCTACAGTGAGCATATTGACAGATGGGGTACCCCTGTGCCCGACTGCCTCTGAGATCTTACAGAAAGGAGAGGAAAGCAGAGCACAGGGGCACCTTGGAGCCATGGAAGCTCCTCTGTGAAGCTGGCAGCAGAGTTCTGTCATACACTGACTTTCTGTATGCCAGTCTGAGAGAAAACACTTCTGTCCATCTCATCTGCACTCTCATGTGGAGAAGCCACCATCACCTGTCCCTAATCCCAGTAGCAGGGCTCCATCAACAGGATGTCCACGGGAGAAACAGAGAAAGGGCAGAAAAGTAGGAATTTATTTCAGATTTCAAAACACTGAAGTATTTGAGACAGTGTGTGGCTAGCCTGGGCTGTACAAGCAACACCGGCTCTAGGTGGAAGCACTGTGTGGGAGAAAGCACATCACACTGTTTAGCTGAACCCTGGTACAGGGAACCCACTGCTTCTTACAGAGTTAAGGAAACAAAAACTAATCCTTTCTCTGCTTTATATGACTTCTGCAGGGCGTCATTTTTAGCTCCTATGCCTATTCCATGCACTGAAAGCACATCTAACAAATACATCAAATTGGTGCATTTAATGTTCATTTCCTGCTCCCTGTACTTTGATACCAATTTCTGTAAGGTTATGAATGAGTGGTGGTGGAAGTTCTTTGCCTCCTCACACAAGAACTCTGCCCAGTTCTGTGGTGCAAAATCAAAAAGCCTTCATTAAACTAGTCACAATTTCTCACTTCAATAGTAGAAGAGCCATTGAAGAGCTCCAATAGTAGAAGAGCTACTTCTTCCTTCTGCCTTCAAAGATGAAATGTCTTAAGCACACATCACTTTGTTGCTATCCAAGTTACAAACCTTTGAAAGTCATAGAAGTGTCAGCATATTTTGTTTTACTTCTCAGCCCATTTAAAAAACCTATATGCTGATATTTTACTGCTGTAGTTCTCACATATTAGGCAGTCTGACAAAACTTTAAGATATTCTAAAAGAAGAAAAATTAAAAGGCAACCAAACTTTATTATAGAAATTAAAGATAAGCCAGAAAATTAACATACCAACAGCCATCATGTAATCCCAGCGGTCTATGAGGCACATATTGAAGATCAGGTGGTCAGATGTTTGCCCTTGACCAATGAGTGGAATGTTTCTCTCCAAATTTTGGGTTATTGCAGAAGTCCAGCCAATGAGAAACCAAAAGACCACCAGAAGAATAACAGACAGCATCCTCATCACTCTCCCACCTGTCATATATGGAATACGCTGAGCCGTTCGGGACAGGAACACTTTCAAAACCCTGAAAAATTCAGACAGTGCAGAACTGAGAAGAGCAGTATAGTGTCACAGGAATTAGACTTCCATTTTATTTGCGTACCAGATTATTTAAAAAACAAATCAACAGTCTTTCCTCTGACAGTATGTACAAGAATGAAGTTTGAAACATTATTACTTTCATATTAATCGTATTTAAATGGAACTGATTGCTGCGCAGAGAGTGTTACATAGCAATAATAGAAAATATTAGCTATGCTTATGTTAGAGACACACATTTACAGGCTGTCTTGTCAAGCTGTTTTGTACATTCCATCTCCTAGTGGAAGACTTCTGTCTTTGAAAGATGAAAGGTCATTTCCATAAACCAGCAACTATGTACGTGAGACTTTATTCTGTTTTGATGCTGTCTGCTCATCCCCAATCCTGCTATTTCCGGAGAACAAATTAACACTTCTTAGATTTTTTTTCCCACTGAATTTGATGCCACTGAGACAATAACCTACTCATCACAGAAATAACTATGGAAGGCATTTTGCTAATTAAATGGGGTTTGATCTGTTTAGAGGCAACAACATGTTTTTTGAGCTAGGACAGAACCAACATAAGAAAAGCCACACCACACATCAAGCACTTATACTACATAACAGCTATTGAACACATAACGCTTTAAAAATAATTGCACTTATTATAAGGATAAATTTACTCCCACAAGAGCTGTTCAAGGAAATAGCACCTGCATTTTCTACCCATCACCACCAGCTAATGCAGAAAAAGCTCCTCCTAGCAGCATGAGAACAACCAAATTTGAGGAAATCCCCTTGGGAAGAAGGAGCAGTTTGATTCTTCATGTAGCACAAAATATCTCTCTGTGCTGCTTGCACAATGGGATCTGCCAGAAGCATCTTCTGGGAGCACTGCAGTGCTCCTGCCTTGGCCCTGCTAAGCTGACAAGGATGAGCTCTGAGGAAAGGCTATCATGGAAGTTTTTATGTACCCAGACCATTAGAAGCAGATGGGCTGAAGTTTAAAGGCTGTTTTAGACACTGGGGTGAGGAGTCTTTTAAGGTGAAGAGTTCAACTGTTCCAGTGATTTTGTCCTCAAAGCCACAGTGGCTCCTGACTGCTGAGCATGAACATGACCAGTCTTGATATCCATGAAGACACAAATTATCATTGAGGTTTCAGCATCGTGATTATTTTTTCCTAAAGTTGATTTTTAAAATGCCCTTGTCAGCTCTGAAGTTATTTCAGTATACCAAGCATCAAACCACCTCCCAAGACATTTGACAACCAGGCCTGCCTTTTCAGCAATACAAAATCACACTTCTGATTAACATTTATGCTTGTATTTGTCTGAGAGAAGGCAGAAGCAGTGTTGCCTCCCAAACAACTAAGAGAGCAGTGTCTTAAAGGCAGAAGCACAAAAGGTTTTCCACATCCATAACAATGAATCAGCATTTGACTACAAACACAGCCTTCACAGTGTGCATTAGGTGAAGTCAGAGATCTGAATATGTTCAACATTATTCAGCTGTTTCCCTCGCAACAGTCACTCCACAGGGAGTCACAGTTTTTGATCTTTCCATGTTTGATAGATGTTCTGCTCTCCCTTTGCAGATGCTAAGTGCCTCATGTTGGAAGCAGACTACCAAAGACTTCATCCAGGAGAGACAGAAAACTCTATGGAGGCAAGGCAGCCTACTTCCCTCTGCATTGCTCAGCCACAGCACTACTTGTCCAGGGCAGCACTGCTGAACCCTCATTTTCTAAACACTAAATTCCTGATGTTTTCTAAAATCAGGAAGCAAAGGCTTCCCTTCTACCTGTTGTGAATGCTGGTCAGGAGTTAGCTTCTCTGAAGGGAAGAAAAATTTATTATTTTGGTAATGAACTGGAGTATTTCACAGCTATAATATGTCATTTGAGAAAAATTGCATCATACATTTTTATGAATGTTGAATTATTAGAGAAATCACACAAACCAGCTGAGAACTATTAGAAACTTTTTGTATTTTGGCTCCAAAGTAAATTCTTGATGATTCTGCTGAAAGTCAACGTGTGAGCCTATTTTGGGAATAATAAGGCAGAACCCATTTGATTTTTTTCATTACTAGTTCATTAACTGCTGCCTGTGAGACAGCTTTCTAAGGGAGAGGTGTGGGCTTCTGCTATATTATTCACCTAAGCACAGCGAAACAAATATTTTTCTATACAGCAGTCAAACGTCCTTCAATTTGGATCAAATCACATTTCTTTTTTTTTTTTTCCTCTTTTTCATAAAAATAAGCATCCCCACCACAATAATTTCTACCTTGGACTCGTAGGCTTACATGTAAGCCAACTTTACACTTCTTTTTTCAAACATTCTTTTTCTGAAAAGCTGTAAAGAAAGTTGCATTAGGTCAGTAATGTTGCAAATCTCCTTTTCAGAGGTAGTGGTATAAAAGCAGTCAAGCAGAACACAAGCTCCCAAGTTGCAATTCCCTTATTCTCCTGCCACAATGTGAATCCAAAGCCTCATTGCTCTCCACCTCAACATTGCCTTACATGCTCTGTCTGCTCTCATCTTCTATGTATTATTGAACATATATCAAAGCAGAGACAACTGCCCAGGAGTTCCTCTCCCAAGGGCACATCACCTCACCAGACTGGAGGGTCATTATCTTTCCTGTACCTCTGACTCATACAATCAAAGTTCACTGTAAAAAAGTCGAATCGCTATAGTATGAGACCAGACTGCCTCAGCAAACACTTGGTGTTTGATTACTGGTACCCTCTGTCAGAAAACAGGGCAATTTTTGATTCAAATCCCTGCCCTGATTTCCAGGTAGACAATGTTCAAGGCCCCCTTTTCCACTCAGTTCAATATCTCTACATTGGGTCAAACTAGCTATTGACCAAATAAAAGAGAATTCTTACAGGGACGCAAGAAGTGGGGCTGGTGGGCTGCATGGCTGCTAGGAAATCAAATATGCCCTGGGTCATCCAGGCCACTAAAGCCAACTGGCAGAGAACATACTATTATTCTCAGCATTACAATTCAGCAGGACAGAGGATGGAGTCCCAGTGCCCAGGAATGTTCTCAGATGCTACTTAATTTATGAATATAGATGTAGCAGATTCAAGTTCCTGAGCAAATTAATGTTTAATTATGAGTATCAAGTAAGGCAAACTCCTCCTGTCCTATCTACAGCCAAATTACTGGCAGCGCCAGTCAGTGCCCTGGTAGAAGCTCAGGGGTCTGTTTGAGACATATGGTCTCTGATCTAAAATAGAAGAGAAAACTTAACCATGTTCCTCAGCATCTTCTAGCTATACTCCCACCTAAAACCACTCAGGATATACAATCCACTTTTCTGCACTGTTGTTGGATAATTGAACAATCATTTCCAGTGACATGTCATCAGCTCTGTTTACAGGCAGATCAGACAGAACAGTGCAGTGTGTTTTACCTGCTTCTCTGAAAGACAGCTGCCTTCGAGCAAAGCTTTGACTCACAGACAGCTACAGCCAGGATTGAAGTTGATGTGCAATAGCCATTCCCTTTACAGAGTAAACAGAAGGTGCAGTTCAGGCTGAATGAACTGCCTGGAGACCACGGCACATAAATCCCAGCTCTGCTGGCTGCACCGTCAAGACTGGGGAGAATTAAACTACGTCTGAGGATTTTCTTTGGGGTGCCTGACTCCATATAAATGGAGAAGGGGAGGGCTTGGTTGCAAACACTGAGAGCCAAGGGAAGCCCAGCAGCTGGGAAGGGAAGCGATGCTGCAAGTGGAACTGAAGCAGAAGGAAGGAGCACGCTGGTTCACAGGAGTGGCTGGGATCACCAGCTTGGAAACACCAAGTGAAGCACATGGCTGCTGCTGTAGTTATATCCCAAAATGCAATATGTAACCTTAGAAAATAAATAAAACCATATTAAATTTTCATGTCATATCAACAAAAGATGGTCCCCAAACTACCACTGACTGCATAAGTAGCAGGTACTACAGGTGAAGGATACTGCTTTGACAGCAATGACCTGGAAGTTTGTTTATTTTTTATTTCTAGCATCTGTCATTTTGTGACTCAACTGAGTCATTCTGTCAAACTGCTCTGTTCCAGACTGGTGATTTTTATTATGATACAAAAGCTACATCAGAAAGATAATGGGTCAAGACCTTCAGAAATATATTGCCCTCTTGCAGTGCAGGGATTATGTCTTTCCTACATTTCTGGACTAACAGTGAGTATGCCACTAGTCATTTTGAGTTAGTAAACTGATGTGATTCCCCTAAAAGTGAAAAGGTACCAGTGGGACATGTATGGCTCCATGTTGATACAAAAGTGTATCACTTCACACTTGACACACAGACACAGACATATACACAAATACTGGGTGCAGGTATAATTTCCGCATCAGGAAAGATGACTGAATAAAGAATATCAACATTAAGGCCCAAGACCTCAGAAATCATATTTAGATAGACTCATACCATGAGTTACTGGCTCTCACTGGAAAGAATAAAACCCATATGAGAAATGAACAGCTTTCTAAACAATTTCCCAGCTGAAAGTGTCCAAATTAGTAACTGTCTGCTTCCCAAGTGATTTCTCAAGACCTGAGCACAGAACAAACTAGAAGTGCACCACTGAAGAGAATACTCTTATGGAATGATCTTTTGCTTTATTGATTCTGACCACACCGAACCTGAGCAAACCTGGACTGAGAGGCATGACATGTTAGCAGCACAACAACAGCAGGGCAAGACCCGCATCATGTCCTGTCCACTGAAAATACACAACAACTAGAAAAAGAAGTTTTGGCAATTATGTGGTGTATGGATACTCATGAGAGCCCCCATCTTGTGTGTAGCCAGCGAACTGGGTCACATATCACTGAGAGCCATCAATTTATCTCAATTCCTTCACACTACACATGTAACATCTTACAGTATAAACAATAGGAAATCTCCCACATTTTTTTATTTCAGAAAAGAATTTTGTAATAGCAAATACCTGTCAAGAACACTGTCATGA